TATATATATATATATATATATATATATAGATGGAGGTTCAAACCAGAACACCTCTATTTTACGAGAACACCCTTATCACATGTGATAATACGTATGAGGGGACCCTGTGATGTGCAGACGACGTGTTCTATGACTTAGGTCGCGCCAAAGGTTGTCTGCGTCTATGATTTAGCATCACATGTGATGCTCTTAATTCATTATAGTATCATTTCAACAAGACCCTTATCACATGTGATAATACTTGTGAGGAGGCTTAGTGGTGTAAGGACGATTTGGCCCGCAACCAACATTGCATCGAAAATCACCTACGTCTCTGATTTAGTATCACATGTGATGGAATAATAATATTACATTTGATTGTCTATATTAAAATGGTGTTCTTGCATTCTCGTAAATAAAAGTGTTCTCGTTTGAACCCTTCCATATATATATATATATATATATATATGTGTGTGTGTGTGTGTGTGTGTGTGTGTGGATTATCTTGCTTCAAAGAGTTAAATCGTGATTGCAACCCTTTCATACCTTTTTTCTGACAACGAAGGAAGAACTAAGAAAATAGAAAAATCAATGGCATACGCTATCAAATGAATTGAAGTATGTAATAGACGACTTCAAATCAAGGGACAAAGAGAAAAATCATGAGGATTGAGACTAATAACCATATGACTCAAATCCGCAACAGCTCATGAAATGTAACTAATTTAATTGGGTGACCATTTACTTGACGAGCTTAAACTTTGTTGACATCGAAATAGAAAACACCGATCAATTGAGTGACAAAATGATCACTTGAGAATTTTTTAGAATCTCGTTAATAATTCTTTTTAACAGAGATTACGATTTCTTTTGGTCTAAGTCTTTTTTCTCAATAATTTTTCAGTCTTATTTTGTTTATCATCTTTTTAGATTTTTTTTTATCAACATCATTGTTTTTTTGAAAACAATTGAAAAAATTATAAATAAAAAAGATTTATTAAAAAAATATCTTCTCAATTTTAAATAAAAGAAAATTAGATTTATTTTTGGGGGGATATTATGCTTTTGAATATCGTTAGGCCGGTCAGGTCAGCTTACAGCTAATTTCCACTTTATTATTATTATTTATTATTTATTATTTATTATTTATTATTTATAAATAAAATACCATTTTTAAAACATGAAAAAGAATTTAAAAAATAGCAATTGACTAAACCGTGCCTATTCATACTTCAGACCCAATCAAACCCCTGTCTCTCTCGCCTCATAAATACCCACCAAATCCTCCCTCCTCAAATCTAACCCACCACCATGCTCCGCCACAAACCACCACTCTCCTCCCTCCTCCTCCCCTTCCTCCTCCTCTTCTCCGCCGCAGCAACCACCACCTCAATCTCAAAACAGTTCAAAGAAGCTCCCAAATTCTACAACGCACCAGAATGCCCCCAAACCCACATTGACACTGATGACGTTGACCGCCAAACCGACACTTTGGACACCGACCCTGACTCCGCCGTCCACGTAGCCATGACACTCGACGCCACCTACATCCGGGGATCAATGGCCGCCATCTTCTCCGTCCTCCAACACTCATCTTGTCCACAAAACATCGTCTTCCATTTTGTCACATCCGCTTCTTCCGACGCGTCACTCCTACGCGCCACCATCTCCACCTCTTTTCCTTACCTGAAATTCAAACTCTACCCCTTTAATGATTACTTCGTCGCCGGACTTATTTCCACCTCGATTCGCTCCGCCCTCGACTGCCCACTCAACTATGCTCGGAGCTACCTTGCCAACATCCTCCCACTCCACGTACGCAAAGTCGTCTACCTTGATTCCGATCTGGTGCTCGTCGACGACATTGCGAAACTCGCCTCCACACCACTCGGCGACGACTCCGTCCTCGCCGCACCGGAATACTGCAACGCCAACTTTACCTTTTATTTCACACCTACTTTCTGGTCCAACCCATCTCTATCATTAACCTTTGCCAACCGAAAAGCATGTTACTTTAACACCGGCGTGATGGTGATCGACCTAGACCGGTGGCGCACCGGAGATTACACGAGAAAGATCGAGGAATGGATGGAGCTACAGAAACGAATGAGAATCTATGAATTAGGTTCACTGCCACCGTTTTTGCTTGTTTTTGCCGGAAATATAGCTCCGGTGGATCACCGGTGGAATCAACATGGGCTCGGCGGGGATAATTTCCGAGGGCTTTGTCGTGATCTACATCCGGGACCGGTGAGTCTGTTACATTGGAGTGGGAAAGGGAAGCCATGGGTGAGACTTGATGCAGAAAGGCCATGTCCGTTGGATGCTCTTTGGGCGCCATATGATCTTTTGAAACCTCCATTTTCTTTTGATTGTTGAAGAAATGGTGATGATGATGATGGTGAAGAACATGAACTCCATCATGATATCATCTAGTTTTTGTTTTTTATATTTTGTATTTTTATATTAAAATTTGAAATTGTACATTTGTTTAAAAAAAATATAGTAGGAATTCATGATTTTGTTGTATAAGAAAAGAAAGAAAGTCCAAATACATAAAGTGATGTAATAAAAGACGTCTCTTTCTTCCATATGTTCCCTAACTAGTGTTCTTTATTTTTCTTCTCCCAAATAAATAATAATAATAAGACATTAAAAAAGATAAAGTAAAAAAATCAAATATTGTGTTTTACATGGTGGCATGCCTCTGACATAACATGACATGAGACACAAGTCTTGAAACATGACGTAAGATACAAGTCTTGAGCCATGACGGTTGTTGCGGCGAGATTTTTTGAATATTAATTTTATATTATTAAAAAAAGTTAGTTTTAGAAAAAGATATTTAGTGATATATGATCGAGAAAAATTATTTAGTTTTATAAACATTATTTTAGTTTTAAATTGTATATGTATAGCTATAGGTTTATTTGAGAAACATTAAATATAGTAAAAATAGAGAAGTGATACGAGCATTTACATTAATAAAATTAACGGTCAAGATTTGATAGGCTAATCATGCAGCACCGGATAATTCGGTCGCGTGGTAACAACTATGTGAAAAGATAAAGAGGTAGTTTCGTAATAAATTTAAATAGACGGTAAACGAATTATATTATATGCATATGTGAACCTGAATGATTCACAAATGAACTACTTTAAGTCATTCATATATGAAATATTTAATTGATTCATACATTCATCGTAGATTAACATATAACATTATGGTTTTAAGATCAAAGTCAACATCTTGCTCAAGATCGTTTTGTGAATTCAGATTCATAATGAAAGAATACGAGATTTGATCGAGAAAGAATTAAGAAAATTGTCAAAGACCTTCCAGTCTAGTGGTAAAGGCTTGGGCATGACATAGTCATGAACCCGAGTTCGAGCCCTGGTAGGGAAGTGTTGGCGACATTTAAGTGGGGCCATGTTTAGCCTCCAAATTTGCCGGGGATTAGTCGGGCTTTGGCCCGGACACCCTTACAAAAAAAAAAAAAGAATTAAGAAAATTGGTAATTTTGATAACCTAGAATTACAATATATATGATCGAAGAAAAAATCGATAATAGAATTGCCATCGGATTTGATTTGTGACACATGACCGATGACATAATTGCGATATATGATCAAGAAAGAATCAAGAAAAATCAATGATAGAATTGAGATCTTTATGCTGCTCTAATTTTGTCGATGATAGAACCGTTAATTACCATATTACCCTTCATTTAATAAAACTTGTCTAATGGCTAGGATTGGTTATCTATTTCTCATATATTTAGTGCTTCTCATTTGAATCTCTCCCTATATGTATAACGGATAAAATTAAGACTATTAAAACTTTAACTCTTTTAGAATAAAATAACATAAATCTCAACACTGAAGAACTAAAATTGTAATTGTGAAAAGTAATGCAAAATATATTGTAAATGAATCTTCTTTGATAACACGTGACTGACGAATTATTTTTCATTTTACTAGATGTGAAGTGTTATTTGAACATGCGTATGTGAATTTACATTCGTTTTACTTGCCTTAAAGGCTTAAACATTTTTTTTTAGATTTCAAACGTAAATGCACATGTGAATCATATATCAATTGTGTGTGTGTGTATATGTATATATATATATATATATATTAAACGAGTAATGTTATGCAAATTCACGTGTGTATATTTGTGAAATTCATTCCTAATTTGTTGAAATACATCCATAAAATCGTCAATGATTCATATATGAATTCTTTATAAATTGTTGCAATATATGCATAACCTAACACATGTTCACATACAAAACCCTAATGAAGCATGGATGATGACAAACATCATGTATTTACTATGAATCAACATCAAATGCACATGTGAATTATTTATTGTTGAATGATTCTCTAAACATAAATTCACATGTGAACCTTAAACATCCATAAATACTTTCATTATCAATAATCATGAGTTATTTCTTCTTTTTATATTTTAAGGTAGATGATTCCACTTACAATACATTTGTAAATCATATGGTTATATTTGTATATTTCAAATAAATAATGCCATGCAAATTTATATATTCATATGTGAAGCTCATTCCTAATTCTTTGAAATGCATATGTATTTCTAATTAAACACTTGAAAGAAAGAAAAAAAAAGAGGAAAATGCTTCCAAGTGTCAAAATATCATTGGATGCAAGAGATTAATAAGGTTGTTACCGGGAGTAAAAGAGATATAATTGTATGTCACTTTATGTCATAAAAAAAGCAATTTATAATTTTAATTTTAATTTTGAATAAAAATAAAATAGAAAAATTTAAAGTCAAGATTAATCATGAAAAATAAATCAAAATATCTAACTTTTCTAATACATTTAAAATTTGAATATATATTTTTAATTAAATTACTGATTTTTTTATTAACCTGGATATCCAACCCGCTATGTTAGCCGACTAATCCCAGGACGATCACATGCTTTGTAGATAGCCCAGAGTCACCATATTTGAACCTTCGTGGCCACAAGAGGATTTTTATTCATCCTTGAATTTGAACCTAGGATCTCCTGATACTTTTGATTTTTGGAGTCAAACTCAAATAAATCAGTCACCACCATTGTAGTTGAATTTTTATTTTATACTAGGGTGGGTGGGAAAGGCAATGCTTTGGGTCTCTTTCTATAAAAAGGAATAAAGTTAATGCAACAATATGATCAATCGAATATAAAGGGTGTCAATTCAATTTTTTAATCATCAAGTTTTTAAATAAATACAATATTTAATAAAATATATGAAATTATAAATCTTTTTTATGATCGTCTTTAAAATGATTTTATATTTTTTATATTGAATATTTGAGTTATCGACAAACACTTCTCATGTAGCATTTATTACTGACAAGTTTAGTTTATTTGGGTGTAATTACTGATATATGAATTTATTCACTCAAACAGTAAACATAACGGATAATCACAAATTGTTTGGGTGAAACTCACCGCTAATAATAATATCACTTTGTAGCATATGAGATTCCGCAAATTCGAGATAATTTTTTTTTTTGATTAACCTGGATATTCAACCCACTATGCGAGCCGACTAATACCTTTGCAGATAGCTCAGAATCACCGTATTTAAACCTCCATGGCCACAAAGGGATTTCTATTCCTCATTGGATTTGAACCTGTGACCTCTGGGGCCAAGCTCAAACGAATCAGGCACTACCCTTGTGGTTAATAAATTTAAAAATAAAATAAGAAGCTTGTCTATGACATTACAGTGGTTAGAACTGGAGCTATAAAATGGAATCTCGGTTTGTTAATTAAAGATGGTGTTAGTCACTTGAATTGGCAATAGTCTCGACAACCGATAAACCACATGTCGATGACCTTTGATGATTAGCATCGTTTTTGAAAGCTCGCATTGGAAGATAAGACGAAACTGACTCATGTAATCAGAGTGGTCAGTGAGAACAATGGTAGAGGTTTTAAACATATATCACATTTGTATAAATACAGACGTCATAATTATGAAATTTAACATTCCTGTAACGTTTTTATTTTTACTCTTTAATATAAATGATGAAATTATTATGAAGACAACGTGATATTTACAACTTTAATAATTATTTTATATTTTTTTATACGATGTAAATTAATATACTCAAAATCTAATATAATATTATGTTGAAAATCGAGAAATTACCTAATATTAAAAATGTATTATTTATTTAAATTAATAAAATAAAACTAAAACTAGTCTATAGAATTTATTATTTGTTGACTATTTAATGAAAGTCAACTTAATGCATGGATCAAGTAGAACAAGTTTGACTTTCAAGTGTTTAATGCTTTGACTAATCGGTGGTAGAGGACAATATCTCTCGATCTTTCTAGGAAGCGTCTCAGGTTACAAGGTTGATTCGTTATCCCACCACAACAAACAATGGATTGATATATATATATATATAGTAGCCTATTCAAGGGAGAACTGAGTTGTTTGTGGTAACTGTGAGAACCAATATTAACCACAAATCAATAGATAAATTAGGAAATTTATAAATTTGATAATTTTAAATTAAAATCTTAATACAAGAATATTTTTGGTATTTTAAAACTCTCCTCTCTCCTCTCTTCTCTCTCCGGCCACCGTCCTCCGGTGATAAGGGCCTAATCAAATGAGAACTAATTAGTTTGTGGTAACTGTGAGAACCAATATTAACCACAAATCAATAGATAAATTAGAAAAATTTATAATTTTGGCAATTCTGAATTAAAATATTAATGCAAGGATATTTTTGGTATTTTAAAACTTTTCTCCCTCCTCTCTTCTCTCTCCGGCCACCCTCCTCCAGCCACCGTCCGCCGGGCACCGTCCTCCGGTGATACTACAATGGTATCACAATGCATCATATATGTGCTTGGGTATCACATTGATGTCGTTTGTGTGGTCGATTGAAGATGTAACACAGTGGTATCACTATGCATCTTATATATGATTAGGTATCACAATGTATCGTTTGTTTAACA